CTACTGACGTGTATAAGCCCATAAAGGCCACGAATCACCTATGGACAATCCAAGCCCATCACTTGGAGCCCAATGCATAACCCAACTGGTGAGGTTCAGGACAATTGGAGTCCAACATGGCATAAAGAGCCAATGACATTCAGACACACGGCAAGAGAAGGTCGAACCACATCAGCAGACAAAGATCTTCAAAGTTATTGCCACTGCACATCACTATTAATGCAGCCCATCACAACATTTATTACGACAGCACCTCTCCGTCGAAACAAGACCCCTTACCCTGAACAAGGTAAGCTACAGCATAGGCTTTCGGCGAGGAGGGCAGGTCGGAAGGGACAGCGAAATGATTACCAAAGGATATAAGCAAACGTTGAAGACAAGAAGAAGGTTAAGCTTTCTATCTCTAATCTCTCCCTTTATACTCTACTTCTCTTCCTAACTTGCTCGTCGGAAGGTTCACTGGGGGACTACCTCGTTCCCCCGTTGAACTTGCTTGCAGGTTATCTGGTGGGCTTGATCATTTGGACTTGGCCTTGAGGAGCTTGGACTAGTCCGATCCATTCACTGGGACAAACTGTATTAACAGGTGTGATCCACACCGTACAAAAGTTTAAATTTTGGCACGTTGTTGGGCATGTTGTTGGGCTCCGTAAGCCCATCACGTAATCTACATCAATAATTTGAACCGTGAATATTTAGGAATCGTCGAGTACTTCATCTCTATAAAAAATCATGTTGATTGGATATTGATAGTCACTTGATCAGATCAAATTTGTGTCAACGATAACTATGATTTAAAAAATAAATTGTTAACACAAATGTAATATGATCAAGTAACTATTGATATTCAATCAACATGATTTTTTATAGGGATCAAGTGTTCAATGAGTTCTACACAATGAACAGTTCGAATCATTGATGTGGGCTAAGTAGAGCCCACAACGGCTCAATAGTACGCTTTAGTTGGGAGCTGATCCCTAAATTTATACAATAGATTCAAAATATGGATACTTTGCTGAATACATAGCATTTCCTTAAAAAATTACAACAATTTTATTTCTTAAATCTGAAATTTTAATCCTTTTAGGGCCAGTAAATTTCGATGACTTGAGGGATGGCAAAAGAGAAAGGGATGGTTCAATTTGATTTCTTTTTTTCAAATTAATAAATATGGTATCTTGATGAGCAGGTCTACATATAAGAGAAATTATTGGATAAATTATAAAAAAAATTATTAAAAATACACATGCCATGAGACATGATGGCACCACCAAAGATATCCTCATTCACTAATGCTGTGTTTGGTTGGGGGATTTGGAGAGGGATTTGGAAAGGGAAATGGAAAAGGTAGGTGAAATGTGAATAAATCATGGCTATATTTCACATAGTTTCACACACCTTTTCCCTTTCCCTTTCCCTTTCCAAATCCCTCCCCAAATCCCTCAACCAAACACACCATAAGTATCCGTGTTATTAATCCTATATATCAATGAATCAGTTTTGCTTATTTTTTTAATTTTTTATGTAAATCCATACAATATATATATATATATATATAGATGTATATATGTAAAACTTATCAAATAATAATTGATTTGTTTTTTAAATATGTCGGGTCGTATACGTGCGTACATGACATTATTTTCTAAGTTCATACGAAAGAAAGTGAAATATGAAAGAAAGTGAAATGAGTGATAAATTCATGAGATGTATCATTTTCTTAGGAAGAAAATTAGATTATAGGAATGCAAGTCATTGGAAGGAAGGAATCCAGGGGTACGAGGCCATCACTTGAATTGGTCATATGACTAAACTTAGAAAGATTAGGGTGATGACAAAATTAAATAACAAGACTTCTTTGTATTCATAGGAATCTAAAATTAAGAACTATTTGACCATTTCAAGAATACATGATGAGTTCATGCATGACTGGGCCTCATCCAAGTGCATTTTCTTTTCTTTAAAAAAAAAATTAAGTAGCTTTAGAAAAGTCTAACAAATTTATTATCATTTTACATATCAAATTTTTTAGTAAAGTGATGAGAATTATTGAATATGGTGTGAATAAGAATAAACAAAATAAAAATATATTTTAATATAAGAATATAAGAATATTTTTTATTTTTAATCCAAATAATTAACGTATTACTGGTGGAAATAAGGTTAAGTCTTAAGTGAGTTAAATTAGGATAGGGTAGTTGACCCAATGGTTTATGTAGACCTTGTGAAAGTCAAAGTTTTAAGATTTGAGTCGATGGAGCTATTGTGGTTCTTTCATTGTAATCTAACTTAAGTAGTGTTTGATAAAGCTAAAAATTAAAGACTAGAAATTAAGTATTGAAAATTGAATGTCGAATTTTTTGAGTTGAAAAACTGTTTGATAAAAATTTAAGAAAAATAAGTTGTTTAATATGTATAAGATTAAATTTGAAATTTATTATTTTCAAATTGTATATTTCAATTTTCATATGATAATGGTGGTAGTAGTGGTGGTGTGGTGGTGGTGGTAGTAGCGATGGTAGTGATAATAAAATGATGATGGTGGCTATGGTAACAATGGCAATGGTGATGAAAGTGGTGCTAGTAGTAGTGGTGGTGGTGGCGGTGGTGGTGGTGGTGTAGCAGTAGTGATAGTGGTGGTAGTAGCGGCGGCAACGATGGTGGTAGTGGTAGTGCTAGCGGTAGCGGTAGCAATGGTGGTAGTAGTAGTAGTGGTGGTACGATAGTTGTGGTTGTGGTAGTAGTGGTAATGATAGCGACAATGCTAGTGTTAGTAGTGGTAGTGGTGGTGGTGGTGGTGATAGTGGTAGTAGAAGTAGCAATAATGGCGGCGGTGGTGGTAGTAGCGGTGGCATGATCATGGTGGTTGTGGTGGTAGTAGGCCCATAAATAGATCGCATTCGGATCAGATCTGTCAAAATCCAAATCCAATTTGATTAAGACAAACCCGAATCTGATCCGAATCTGTTTAGCCCATATCCGATGATTTTGGATATCCGATCTGATCTATTTATTTTGTTTATTGAGTTACAATTTTATATAATTTATTTTTTTCATTTTGTGTTTTCTTCATTCAAATTGAGAATAATCAGATTGGATTATAAGATTATTGGATCGGATTTTTGCATATTCGATCCCTTTAATAAACGGATTGAATGGATTTGGATTATCAGATTATCGGATCGAATTTTTTATAAATAGATTCGGATTTTCGAATCAGATTCGGGTCGGATTCGGATTAAATCTGATTCATTGACAGCCCTAGATGGTGGTAGTGATGGTGGCAACGACAACGACAACGGTGCTAGTTGTGGTGGTGGTGGTGGTGGTGGTAGAAGTAGCGATAGTGGTGGTGGTGGTAATGGTGGCGGTGACATGATGGTGATGGTAATAGTAGCGGTTGTGGTAGTGAATTTGTAATAGTGTATATCGATAAGTTTCGTGTGACTTAATTTTTTTCAACAATGTTAGGCGGTTCGAAAAATCATGGCTCAAATGGCTCGAAACACCTAAAACGACGTCGTTTTGAGTGTAAAACGACGTCATTTTAACACATTCGAACCATCTGAGCCACAAAAATTCAGACTACTAAACATTTTCCAATTTTTTTAAGTTTTCACCTACATTTTAAGAGAGATTTATAATTTTAAGTTATATTCATTGTTGTTATCAAATAGATTTTATTTATTATCTCTTAATACATTCAATTTTAAATACTGAATCAAATTATCAAATACTCCCTCACTAATCCACTAACATGCTATTACAAATAATAATAGTAATAATAAGGGGATTGTAATTATACTTTGAGGACTCTAATTTATTTTCCCTGAACCTTCAAGAGGGCTATTTTTGCCTGGAACAGACTTCCATATTACTTCCAGAGAGTCATGCAATAGACCCAAATTATACTTACCCAAAAAAATAGACCCAAATTAAATTCCTTATTAGTTTATCAACATGTCTTTTTCCTTTTCGGAGAATTTTACAATACACACCCAATATTATATATACATTTAATTACAGTTTTTTTTTAGTTATCATTAATTTTTTCTTTAGTTATGATATTATTTTAAGATGTTTGGTTATAATTTTTATTTTTTTTAGTCATAACTCAAAAAAATATAAAATTATATCATTTTTTTAATTATAAAATATATATAATACACACCGTTTAAAGAATATGTACCATAATGTTTCCCTGCCTTTTAATCTTTATCAGAGGTTCCATTTTTTCCTCCAGTTAAAATGGTTACAGTGAATTTGGGTTTTAATGAGTGTGACCACGTTTGGAGTTTTATTTTTTTATTAATTTCTTAATTTTCTTATGAGATAAAAAAATTTAATATATTTAAAAATATTTATTTTAGTTATTTTGAATAATTAGTGTTGACTTGCTTTTTTAGTGACCTTTTAGTATTTTTAAAATTTTTCAACTTTTTTTAATGAAAAAATTACTTGTCAGTAGGAATTTGGGAAAATTATAACATATTTATGAAAAAATTTATACTTTTGATTATTAATATTGATAAAATTTACCATCAATTTGTAATTATTTTTCAATAATTACACCGAACTAAAATTCCTCTTTTTTTATAGTCAAAAAGTCAAATTCCGTATGGAGCTTAAAATGTATAATCATTTTAAAATAGCTATGTTATTGGCTATTTTAAAATAATATTTTAGTTTCTAATTTTTTTAAAAAAAATTATTTTGGTTCCCAACAGAATTTATTATATAATGCATATTAAAATCAAAAATGGAATAACAATATTTTAAAAACTTCAAAAAAAAAAAAAAAAGCAACAAAATTAAAAAATTGGAGACCAAAATGTATCTGTGGTCTTACTGATTTTGTTAAGGTTTTGTATAAAATTTTGCTGAGTACCCCTCTCGCCAATGCTGACGCCAAAACAACCAAAAAGAAAAAAAGAAAAAGAAAAAGAAAAATGAAAAAAAAGAAAAAGAATTTTCATGACAAAGGTATTTGCAAAAATTAATTACAAATACATGAAAAAATTTATGATTTTACTCTTTAATATTTGTAAAGTTTAACACTGATCTAAAAAATATTTTTCTAAATATACACTGATTTGAAATTACCCAAAAAAAGAAAACGTATTGCATACTTTAGAAACTACTCTAACTAACCCAAAAGATTAATATGACAATCATTTGCTAAACAATGGTTATTACATCAAAAAGAAGTCAATAAGTAACTAGTCCAAACATTAGACCCCTTCCAAAGTGGAATGGAAGAGAATGCCACATTAGATCAAGCTGTTCTCTTCACAAATCAACGTGTGATTTTCTCCCCCGCTAATTAAGCAGCTCCTCCTGGGATAAACACTCTGTAAACAGTAAATTTTGAGTTAAAGTCGAAGAGGTTTGACTCCTGTTCAAGTTGGTCATTTCAAGCCTTTGGACTTGGTAAGCTCATTTTGGGACCGATTTCAATAATTCGAACCGTTCATCATTTGAGATTCATTGAGTAGAATATTTACATAAAAATTAAGATAATCGGATATTGGTAGACCCAAGTCGAAAAAAGTAAGACCAGACAAAAATAAGCCTAAAAAGTAACAGAATCTATTAACTGCAGACAAAACAAGGTAATAGGAATCAAAAAGCTAAAATTTTAACAAAAAACTGCTTCCAAACATGTATAGGAACAATCACCTTTTGGGAAGCAAATCATGCAGCCAACGCGATCACAAAAACTTGGACCTGCAAGAAAACCAGCAACAAGAAGATTCAGTCACTGGAACTGTCCGAGAATGGAGAAATTACAACTGGAAAAGATACAATTTCACTGTGATAAAAAGCACTAATTTTCCTTTTTAAGCAAAATATATGTTGCCTTTTGACTTATAAGACAAAAAACACTTTTTGTAACTGCAACCCGAAAGTAGTTGGGTAAACTTAATCCCTATTTCCTTCTTTTTGTGTGTCAGCATGAAGTGTTTCAAGGAAGAAGCAACCAGTATTCCGGGCAAGGGAGGAATAACCTGTGAACAGTCTTTACACTGAGTTTGAAAGAGTTCAAATTAATTTTGGGAAAGTTGCATGGAAGCTTTAGTTGAATATACATTGTACTTTACAACACAAGAAAGCAAAATTACAAAGCCATAATAACACGGTTTGGTGTAACTTTTCTCAAGTTGAAAGTTGATAAACAGAAAGCATAAGAAAAGAGCACCTCTCCCTTAGCTTTTTCTAAAAGTTTCTTACCGTAACAGAAACAAAACACAAAATAGGACACAAACACTCACAAGCCTGTGGACTCTGTTTTTTTCCCATTTTGTTCACCTTACTTGTGTTTTTGATGACAAAGAAATAATTTCAGTAATTAGCGAGTGAAAGTCATCCTCACGAGACGAGAATAAATCCCCGATACATAAACCACAGATCTTAGTATCAATTCATGTCCCACAGGAGGCGTCTCATCTTCATCACAAATTTAAGCACATAAGACAAGGGCCATTCAACCTTTAAAGTTTGTGATGCCCATCAAATTGTGTACGAGGATAGTATCGGTAGCTTAGCTGCCTTGACAAAGTTCTGTTTTTTCCAGTGTGCAGACACATGCATATAGGATGAGTTAACTGTCACAAATTTAAAGCCCAAAGAAAACTCATTTATAAAAAGTTATCACATTCTGAAAGTAAAAGGTCATAATATCGGTATATGTTTGTGCATCCTCTAACATTAGGTTTATAAAATGTGCTGCTGATAGAGCCACAAGTTGAGTTGGGTGCCCTGCACTTGGCCTTTCTGTCAACAACCAAAGCAGGTTGCACCATGACTCGTAAGGCAAGGCTAAGCTTGGCTCAGATTTCAGGCCCAAAATTGAGTTCATGCTTAGTTGGCCCAGCACTATCTGGACCTGAAAACCCAAGATTTTTGTTTCAGCTTTCAACTCCAACTATTATCAAATACCTTAGTGAATTAAATAATTAACAGATTCAATAAGCTGGCAATTGAGGTTGTTCTAGCTCAACTACCTGACATTTATTCATTCAAGACAGACTAATGCTAAATCAGATTCTGGTTGAACTTTGCCCCGTTAAAACTGCAAAGCGAAGTTCAAAAACAAGTGTTCCTTGTTCTGATGAGTTTCTGGCACATAAAGAGTATTTCACACCTGTAATTTTCTCTTTTTGCAATGCACTCTCCTGTGGTTTATCATGCATAAACACAGCAACATTTGGAAACAGAATAAACACAACATCATCTGAAAAAACAATGTCCCAGATTTTCAGTAAACCCAAAATAACTAACTTAAATTTCCAAATCGTCAGAGTTCTGTTAGCAATCTAATATGATGAGACATCTGCAGACCGTTCATCCCTGCTCATGATCATTCAAGGCGCCTCAAGTGATGGCAAGTTCTTTCCTTAAAAGAATGCTTTTAATCTCATGGAAAGAAGGGTTTTGGCCAAGTCCGTCATCTACCTATAACCTCAACTAATATTGTAATGGCCTGTTTGATTAGTAAGGCCCTGTTTGATTAGGTGGATTGTTAGTGATGGGATTAACAATCCCATGAGATTAATAATCTCATGGGATAATTATGCGAAGGATTGTTAATACCTACCCTCCTTTGGTATTAAATGTACTATAATTTTGTAGGATTAAGAGTCTTACGTATTACTAAGTCAGATGCTATTTGTGTGACCCACATGTAGGAATATTAATTTGATAGGATTAACAGTCCAATCTTATGTAGTTATCCTGGAATCAAACAGGCCCTAAGGCCATATTTGTCTGGGCAGACTGGATTAGGTTGGATTAGCATTCTCACAACTAATAGTCCTAAGATTACGAATTCTTTTAGATTGTGTATCATATTCTATATTTGGATTGAGTTACGATTATAAGGATGGACTAATAGTCCAAACACTTTGGCTTAATCCTCCAATTTATATCTCATCCCCCTTTGTGGGATTGAATAGTCCATCATATATGAGATACCATATCTGGATGAATTGTTAATCCGTACTTCAATTATTTAACCAACCATCGGATTAATAATTTTATTGGACTATTAGTCCAATCCAAGCTCGTGTCCACCTAAACAAGTTCCCCTTGTCCATGTTTGTTTTGCAACATAAATGAAAATATAATCTCAATTATAGGTATGTTTTGCATTATTACTTGTAAGGTTAAAAAAATTCGTCAATTTTGTTGGATAGAATATCTATGATGATCTAATCTGAATAACAAAAATTACAACCAATGGATTGTGAATCTCATAGATTAATAATCCCAATCTGCCCAATCAAACAAACCCTAAAAGATTGAATTGGCCTGATTTAAAGATACTTCATTAACCTCAACCAATTCCTCAAAAAACATAATTCCTTTTTGTAAACTCTTGGCAAACAATCATATTTATTCAATTGGTTCAACAATTCAACAGCATATACTTGCACTTATTTTCCAAGAAATAACCATTTATCAATAGAATAAACATGTTAGTGTTTGGCTCAACACCAAGTTTAATCACATCATTAAATTGAAAAACCGAGTGTGAAGACCAGTAGTTTATATACCAATGAATTGATAAGCGTATTGCAAAGGGAAGCCGCTTCGTCTTCGCTTTGATTGAGCGATCGGCGGAGGAGATGTAGCCGACCAGAAGCGACTTGGTGGCGTTGTGGTCCATCTCCCTGAAATAAAAAAATCTTATCCCCTCATTTATAAAATATTAATTTTAATTTTTATATAATTTAATAATAAAATATATATATATTTTTTAAATTATCTATAAATCCCATTTTTACAAATGATTCATTTAGTTCTAAGAATTTTCTTATAAATTAATTAGTCTTATTGATTTTGAAAAGGTAGATTTAGGGCCGATTTGGCAACTCTTGAAAAAGTCAAAAAGTTATTAAAAAAGTTAAAAAGTTATCACTATTCATGAAAAAAAAATATTAAAAAAATAATATACAAATATTAATTTAAATGGTAAATTAAAATAAAAGTTCAATCCGACCAACCCATCAACGTACGGACACATCAGCCACCCGCAATGAAAGGAAAAACAAAAAATAATATGTGTACATTCACTTGGGTTTGTTTGGGATGACCTAAATAAGTGCACTTTTTGTCTTTTTACGAAAAGATGTGCAGAAAAGTAGAGAGATGATGTGATGGAAAAAAGATAAAAAGATAAAAAGTGTGTACTTATTTAGGATAGCCAAACTTGGCCTTATTTGCATAGTAAAGTTGGGCCTGTGAGGCCCCATCACGGGTCTCATTTTGATCATCCGAACCGTTCAATATGTAGAACTCATCTAGTACTATATGTCTGTAAAAAATTACGTCTATCGGATATCGCTAACTATATAATCAAATCAGTTTTGTATAAAAATTAGATGGTATTATAGTTAACAGTTGACAAAGAAAACTAACACGATCAGATAGTTATCGATATCTAATAAATGTGATTTTTTAGAAGTATGTAGTACTCGATGAGTTCTACACATTGAACGGTTCCGATTAGAAAAACGAGACCTGTGGTAGGCCCCCATGGCCAAACAACACCATCTAATCAAAGCCCGAGAAGTAGACAATATTTTCTCATCTACTCACCCAGCCAGTCACCACTGCCATTCGGTACGGCTCCTACCCTATCTTCTCCTCAACATTTATTTATACAATTTTTTAATACACATTTTTTCATAAAAATTCAAAAAGTTAACCCAAACATCCATATTTTTTCCCTCAACTTTTAGTCTAAAAAGATAAAAAGTACACTTATTTAGGACACCCCAAACAACTCCTAATATGTTTTTTAGAAATTAGATTTACGGTTATACCCATATTTACATTATATTTCCTTCTTATTCTTTTTTTTTCTTTTTTTCCTTTGTGTTAGAAATGTAAGATAAACAACCTATGACAATCAAATTTGGGATAAATTTTTATATGAAATTATTTTTTATTTGAAATGACTTGAAATGGGAGATTCTTAAAATATTTAAAAAAGAATACAAAAATTAATTGAAATATGAGATTCTTCTAACATTTCAAAAGGATGTAAGATTCTTCAAACATTTCAAAAGAAGTACAAAAGCTCCTTAGTATATTTTGGGCAAATGTATAATTTCAAACTCTAATTGTGAGAACCCACATTTAATTATTCTTAAAAGAAAATAAATTAATAAATAAATTAATTAATTTTATCCAAAGTCTATCTAAAATATATATTAGTGCATGAGTTAGTTTTAAATTAATCCAATTTAATCACTAACAAAGACATTATTAAGAATAATAATTTTGTGGATGTTCAATATTTGTTATTTATAAATTATTTTAATAAGGGTTCAACATGATAATTATCCTTACTAAATACTTTAGTTAAAAACCTTAGTTTATCAATTTTAAGAAACCTACACAAATATAAAAATCAAATTTTTGGATTTTCTGTGACAGTAAATGCCACTTGTTCTCATGCATGGCATTTTTAGATTGTAGGCTCAAATCATATTCCTTGGATTTGAAAAAGAAAAATGTTTCATACCACTAATTCAACACCATTAATATACCACTAATGACATGATAACATGTAAATCCCACTATTGATGTGATAGTTTTTTTTTTTTTTTCTTGCACTTGCCAACTCATTAATAGTATTTTTAGAACTGCTAATTTAATGCTCTAAATCGGAACTATTTGAAAAATTGGATTAGGCTCCACATAAATTGGAAAAGAGAGAGAGAGAGAGAGCCTCAAGTGAGAAGCCTATTAATATGCCTGCTTACAATGCACATTTCTTACTCAAAACTGATCAGAGAGAAATTCTGTGAGCAGCGAAGCTTAGTAAAAGAAGATGAGTAGATTAAGGAAGCTAAAATTTTCTACCATTTCATCATCCTATTTCAATCCTATTATTAAATAAGAAAACCTCTTAACCCACTCATTTTTTTAAAAAGTTCAAAGTTCAGATTGTGTCATAGCAGTAATTATGGAAAGAATTTTATTTATAGTTGCATATAAATTTTGTGATTTATATATATAAAATATTTGAAGATATTTGTAGTCTTAAAATCATGGTATCATTGCGGAATTAGACTTGCATGTGTATTTTATACCATTAAAGAGATGATTGAAGATTATATTTGGTCCTCAAATCTACCAAACAGTTGTACGAATTTTTAGACAATTTTATATTCAAAATTTTGAGATGATTTTTTTCTACAAAATTGTTGAGAATGATGTGTAATTCATCCAGCAACGTTTGCAACAATTATTGAATTTTGTATGAATTTATATAAATTTTTAACCAAATTTGGAACTATAAACAGATTTTACTATACGTTTAAAAAATCATTAAAATTTTATATTAAACCAAATCTGGTAATTTCTAAATAAAAAATAAAATTTGAGAAGTCTAATTTTATAGTAAATTTTTAGATTATATAATTGATTTATAAATTTAAGTATGGAATTAATCTAAGAAAATGTGATAAATCTGTGTCATAAATTTTCTTGAAATTTTTTAGAATTATTTATAATTTATTTTTGGAAAATACTTTTTGAAAAATGACCATAACATATTTATTGAGTATTGCATAGATTTTTACAAATTTTAGAGTTGTCTAAGTAATTTATTTATAATTTTAATTACGAAATATACATTCTGAAAATTTCTAGCAGATTGAAAAAGAACTAAAATTATCACTTCAATTATTTATTTGGATTAATATTGTGCTAGTCTAGGGATGTAATTTTGGCCCGTGACCCGCGGTGCGGCCCGTGGTGGGCCCGATCCATTTAGGCCCGTTTAGCCTCAAGCCCAAGCCCAAGGCCTTGGGCCTGGGCCATCATTCCAAAGCCCGACCCGGCCCGTTTGGCCTGCTCAAGGACCGCCCAAAAGCCTGGCCCGCCCGAGGTTTAGTGTTATTTTTAGTAGAAAAAATATAAAAAATTAAAAAAATTTGTTTAGGCCGCCCAAAGTCCAAGACCAGGCCGAAGCTTAGGGGCCTCGTACATTGGCCTGCCCAAAACCCGAATATCCCTGGGCCTGGGCCTAGTTTTCTTGCCCGTGGGCCGGCCCGGTCCGATTTTTTGGCGGGAGCCCGCAAGGCCCAACATGGGCCCGACCTGAGTCCGGATAGGCCGGGCTAGGCCAAAATTACACCCCTATGCTAGTCTAATCTTGTAAATTAAAAATCCATGCATGTTTGTGGTTATGGTTTATTTTCTTTGTATCTAAATTATCATTTCATACCATGGCTTAAATTAATTGTTTACTTAAATTTTGTACATTGATTTGTTATTGTGTGACACGTGTAATATTTTATGTTGGGGATTTTAATGAGTTGGTATAACATTATTGGTGATAAAAATTTGAATTATTTGTGATTGATGTAAAAACTAACTGAAATGATTAACGGTTTATACGAAGTTAACAATTTAGGGTTAATACCGGTTGTTTAGGGTGAGCCTTGGTTTTTAATAATTTTTATATAATTGTGTCGCGAAATCCTAAGATGGCACGGGACTTATTTGAACCCATATCGGTATTTGGTTTTGGGATAAGGGTAAATGTGTGGATGGTACACAGGGAGGTTACATACCCCTGACAGACCGTTCCCTTGAGGCAGACCACGGATACCACGGCTTGGGTATAGAACTCTGGGTGTGGACATCTTTGGTAATTCTTGAATATTTGACCAATGGGGGTTTTCAAATTAACCATGGCCATAACTTAGTGATTGGTAAGAAAATCTCTTTGGTGAGATTTTGAATGTCACTTAAACTAATAAAATTGATGAAATTATTTTAATTGTTGTAATATTATCATGTTATTAATTCCGTCATTTTCTCTTAATTGTCATGATTATTATCTTATTATTTTCTCTTTAAAAAAATGGTACATCGGTTATGTTTTCTTACTGTGTTACAAAACTCATGGAATATATTTTGATGCGCTGGCGTTTTATGCCATATTTTGACGAGTAAGGAATGGAAGCTATCAAAATTTTATCAAAATAAAATTTTATTATCTCTTGTATTAGTAATTAAAAATGTTGTAATATTGTATATGGACTTGTAATTTTTTTTTGTGTTGTTAAACTTTGACTATGTGAGAATTTAAATTTCCTTAAGTGGATGTTAAAATTTTTATTTAGCAAGTTATTTTGTTATTTAAATTTTATGATGTTCCAAAAATTTGGGGCGTCATAGCAACATTCCATTGTAACACTCAAACGTAATACTCCAATATAATACTAAAAAAAATCTTTAGTATACTTTTTCCAAACGTAACACTCCAAAAAAAATTCTTAGTGTAACACTCCAATGTAACACATAAAAAAATTCCTTAGTGTATTTTTTTCCAAATGTAACACTCCAATGTAGTATTAAAAAAAAAAAAGAAGAAAAAGATGTGGAATTCATCAAATCATTCTAAAAGGGAGTAGGATTCTTCAAACCATTCTAAAATGAGTACAAAAATTATTTAGTAAGATTGGACAAATGTATAATTTCAAACTATGAGTGTTATGTTTGGAAAAAAATACACTATGGAGATTTTAATGTTTTTGTGTATGTTACGATTGAGAATGTTACATTGGAGTGTTACGTTTGGAATTACATTGATTGGAGTGTAACATTTGGCAAAAGTAGATTAAGGAATTTTATGTGTGTGTGTATGTTACATTAGAGTGTTATATA